AGGTTTTGTAGAGGTGAGCCTATGGAGCTGACTATTGGTCTGAGTGGGGTTCCTTCTTTGTGTATTTTGGGGAGACCATAAAGCTTGGGGCATCTGGATGATTTTTCTCTGGGTATGATTCCTTGCTGGATTTCTTCACTGATGGGGGAGGCTTTTATTTTGGATTTGGTAGTTTTTTCTAGGTAGGTGGTGGGGTCTGTCTTTAGGGGTTTGTATGTGGGGTCTTGGAGTAGGTTGGTTAGCTTGGTTTGGTAGTCAGATGTGTTCATTACCACTGTCGCATTGCCCTTGTCTGCTGGTAGGATTATTATGCTGGTGTCTTCTTTCAGGTTAAGTAGTGCAGTTTGTTCTTCTTTGGATAAGTTGCTTTTGGGTGGTTTGCTAGTGCAGAGGATGTTGGTGATTTCGAGTCTGATTTTGTTAGCATCATCAGGGTTGGTTTTGGTCAGGCTGGTTTCAACTCCACATATGATGGTTTCTGTGGGGATGTGTTTGGGAGCGACAGCAAAGTTGAATCCTTTTGAGAGGATCTTGGTTTCAGCTTCAGTGAGGATCTTGTCTGAGATGTTGTGCACTGTTTGTTTCATGTGTGGCTGTGGGGGGGGAAGAGTTGGTTTCTGGCATTGTTGTAGTTTCCTGAGTTTGTTGGTCTGTGTGTCTGTCTTGAGGATGGTCTGTGTTTCGGCTCTCCAGACAGCGAGTTGTTTGGATTTGTCCCAAAGTAGAGGGTGAATCTTGTTGCTGAGTTTGAGGTGGAGTGTGAGGAGATCTTTGTTGATTTGGTCTAGGAGAAACCTTTTTGTGTGAAGTTCATTTCTAATTAGGGCCAGTTCTGTTCTTTTAAGGATGCGTTTGGTGGCTGCTCTGTTGGTGTGGAATTTCAATTGGAAGCTTGTGGGAATTAAATTTTGATCTCGGCAGTTGCATAGGAATGCAAGGTCACATAAAATGGAGGCTCTTTGGACTTCAAGTTTTTCATAAGTCCTGGTCAGATGGTGGGTTGGGTCTGTCTTTAGGGGTTTGTATGTGGGGTCTTGGAGTAGGTTGGTTAACTTGGTTTTTGTTGGTTAACTTGGTTTTTGCGATAACAGGTGAGAGGGGTGATCCCATGGGTGCTCCTTCTATTTGTTTGTATTTTTGTCCATTGTAGGTGAAGTAAGTATTGGATAGGCAGTGGTTGGTTAGATCTAGGATGTGCTATATGGATCTTTGGTTGTTCGGGTTTTCTCCCGCGTAAGATTCGAAGTATCTAGGCAACGTTTCGATGAAGTCTCATTCATCATCTTCAGGCTTCTGTCTCAGGCTCTGTGCTTCTCAGAGTAATGTGAGGTTGCAGCTGCTTCTTCCTTTTAACTGCCAGTGTGGGTGGGACTTGATTGGGTGGGGGCTTGGCTGTGTTCTGATTGGGTGGGGGTGTGTTCTCATTGGTAGGGGGTTTGGTTGTGTTCTGATTGGTTGGGGGGTTAGCCGTGTTCTGATTGATTGGAGGCGTGTTCTGTTCAGGTGGGGGCTTGGTTGTGCTCAGGTTAGTCTTAGTTGCTGGGGGATTTGAGTTGGTGAGCTGTGATCTTGCTGTTTGGCTTCGAGTTCGTGGTCGTGCTGCATCTTCATAGTGGGTGTCGGTTTGCTTCATGTATGGCTCGGAGGGGTTTGAAGTGGGTAGTGATGCAGCTGCAGTGCAGCTTCTGGTCCATGGTCGTGTGGTTGATCGCTGCAATCTCACATCACTCTGAGAAGCACAGAGCCGGAGACAGAAGCCTGAAGATGATGAATGAGACTTCATCGAAACGTTGCCTAGATACTTCGAATCTTACGCGGGAGAAAACCCGAACAACCAAAGATCCACATACAAATACCCACGAGAACCTCAGAAAACAAATATATATATATATATATATAATGTAAAATTATGTAAAATTATCAATGCATAATGATTAGAACTGTCATCTGTTCTAAAGAAATAATGGCTTAAGTTTGCTAATTTATGGTAATTTTCCTCAAGAGAGGTGAAAAGTTAAAAAATATGCAAAAGAAAAACTGAAAAGGCTTTTCCTTGGTCTTAGTAACAAGAATCTGGAAATGATCAAGTACTCTAACTTTCAATTAGGAGAGAGCAAAACTCAAATCATATAAAGTTGGATTAATCCAGCACATCACAAAATGGAATCCTTTACATTCATACATTGTAAGGCATATATAACATCAGATATCCTTCAGCAATGCATAGACAATTGAGTTTTGAGAATCAGGCCTAGTGTGTTCTATATATCTAATTTCTGTGAAGGTCATTGTGAGGTCTGCTTTAAAGAAGTTCTGTTTAGCTTTCTATTTAGAATATGAAAGCTCAGTTGAGGTTACAAAATAACTGAAAGACAAGAACTGAAAAAAAGGCTGTTGAGCCAGATTCCCGTGGGTGTCCCTCTTGTCAGTGATTGTATACTTTTGCATAATCATATTGTTGATACTTATGAATGACCTGTGTACTTTGGTAAACTTTAACATTGTAAATTTGCTACACAAATTGAACCAGTAATGTACTTTTTTCTGATGCTTCCAACAACATTTTAATTAGATATATTTTATTTTTGGCTTGGCATGTTTGTTCAATTCCCCCCCCCCCCCAAATAAAATAAAATAAATGGAAGGTATTTGGTATTAGAAAAAAATAGGGAGATTTCCTTATTCGTAGATATTCATATGAAATTTGTAAAATGATCCTTAGGTAAACTAAAGATTGCCTTCATTCTTCCAACTGGATCTGTAATGATTTGTAAAAATGCTCTTCTTGCAGCTATAAAAATATTTATCGTGACATGGAGCAGAGCATCAAAACAGCGGATGCTGTTGAAGATCTAAGGTGGTTCAGAGCTAATCATGGACCTGGCATGTCTATGAACTGGCCCCAGTTTGAGGTAAATGCTTTACTTGGCTCGTGGTCCTTCTTGCAGTTGCTTGAAGCTTCTTTTGTAAAACCTATGAGAGAAGACATGCCTTCTTTTGGCTCTTAGAAGAATGGCATAGGTGTGCCTAACTGAAGGGAGACTATCCCAAAGGTGCTTTTTCAAGAGGCTACTGGTTTTTCTGGTTTTTCTTTGAAGACGTTTCGCTTCTCATCCAAAGAAGCTTCTTCAGCTCTTTGCAAATAAATCCTTCCACTCCCCACCACCCAGCTGGAACTGAAGAAGCTTCTTGGACTTCTTCAAAGAAAAAAACAGAAAGTCCAGTTGCATCTTGAAAAAAAAAAACACCATTGGGACAACCGTGATCTGGATGACTGAGAATCTTCATAGGCATGGAGACATACATATTCTTCCCCAGGACCACAAATCCAGGAAGCAAAATAGGCTTTTAATGAAAGCTTTGATAAATGTAATTTGATTGAACTTGAAAATATAAGCAGGATTGGTCCTGGTCAATTCTAGGATGGGAGACTTTTATGAAACTTGATGGTATAGGTTTGGAAATAAAAAAAGTATCACAGCAGGTGGCAGTGGAGACAGAGTCATAGAACTGGAGAAGATTATGACTGTGAGCAATGCAATCACATGGTGTTGCATTTTATGACCGTGTTGCTTAGTGACAGTGATTCCAGTTCCTATTGGCATCATAAGCAGAGGACTACATACCAATAGTAGATACAATGTATAGTAACGTGTGCCCAGATTCGTTTTGGAATTGAGTGGCCTCAACAAATCTAAAATACCTAAATGCATAAAACATTGAAGCTCCCAGGATTCAAAATTGATATGAATGATACTTTACATGTATTATTTTATATACTATAAGCACAAGTTTATTTTGGAGAGCAGAAAGAATCACCCAGGGTATACAGAACAAGATATTTGTGTGTTTTTAAAGGTTTGTTTGTCTAATGCTGGTTTGGGGGGTGAGAAGGTTGTCTTAACCTGGAGCATTTTGACAGGTAAATATAGTATTTTTCCTAGTGTAGTCTGTTTGGTGGCATCAATAAAATTAGTCTACAGTCCTAAATTATATGGAGGTTACAGCAAATCTATGAAATGATCTAGAATTTGATTGAGGAAATACACTTGAGTAGAGGATATTGGTAAAATAATATGCAAAAGAAATTGAGTATCGTGTTAATTGTTGATTAATGATAAAATCAAGCATATTTTTAATTCTAATTAGTAGGCATAGGATACATTGTAAATAAATAATTGTGTTTTGTGTTCCATCTAATTGTGAAGTATTAATATACTATTGTATTTGTTACAAGTGTGATGACGTAGCTTTTAATCTCACGGGTTGTATTTTGCATTTTGCCATTTATTTCAAATGTCATAAACAGCAAGCTTTTGTAAAAACAAACAAAAGTTTTAAAATGACTTACAATAAAATATCATTTTTTTCTAACAATCATTTTATTTGCTTTTCATGCAACAAGGATGAAGTAAGTGTTAACTTTATGTAGAACAATATTTTAATTGTATTATTTAAATTTCATAAATCATCATCAAAACCCATTGCATCACATTCAATTTTAGGCATATTTTTTCAACTTCCTTCTGTTATGGTATATTTCATATACAGTTACTTATTTAAGTTTAGATGCAGGCTTTCAAAATCATAAGATTGGCTTATGATTAAGACATTAAAGACCAAAACCAGCCATCTACCCCCAAAGGAAACAGATGGGAAGTAACTCTTCTGCCAGTATCGTTTGAAAAAGCTCTTTGAAGAAGAAGCTGTGGTACCGGCATGTCAGGTCAAAGGATGTATAGATAAACATTTTATTTGCCTAATCTTAAATTATACGAAATGCCAGAGTTATACAGCAAATTATACGAAATGCCAGTTTCATTTTGAAACTTGAGTCCTTGGTTCTGCTTATATAATTCAGTGCATACCAGGTGTGTTAAGGGAATACTCTTCCTTTCATGTTTTGTATGAGAAAATTTGAAGTACAGGATGGGGGTTAAGGTAATATGTAAGAAATGTAGAAAAACATTGGGGCAAAATAGTGCGTTCATTTGTGATTCTAACCCAGAGGTGTCAAACTGTATTTCTTTGAGGGCCAGATCAGCATTGTAGTACCTCTCTGTGGGCCGGCCACTTGGGGGGAGATGGGCCGGCCGGCTTCCTACAGCACTTTTCTGGCCAAAACAGGGTGCGGGGGACCATGTGCGACCACTCCATGCCCCATTTTCAGCCTGGATGCCCTTCTACAGCACTCTGCCGGCCAAAACTGGGCACGGCATGGCTGAGACCCCCCCCCCATTTTTGTTGGCAAAATGCTACAGGAGCCATCCAGGCGACAACAGGGCACGGGGGGGGGCATGTGTGACCCCCTGCCCCGTTTTGGCTGCCAGAGGCACCGTGGGCCAGATTTAAGCACCCCGTGGCTCAGATCTGGCCTGCGGGCCTTGAGTTTGACATCCCTGTTCTAAGCCATCAATAGGATCCTTAATGTAATGTGTCTCAATTGACAAACCATGAATTTCAGTAGGCTAGAAATTTGGAAACTGAAAATAGGCACAATTCAGATGAGTACTTAAATTGAACTACTGCTTAAAGAGGCAAAATATGTTACATCTTTCATCGGTGATAATCCTAGCAAACAGGATCTTTCCTACAGGGTGGATATAGTTTTGACCCAAGCAAAATATTTCAAACTCATTTTGTTGCATTGTAATGTTAATAAGTTACTTCTCTTTAGGACCTCTCGCAATAGAGGACATTCATCTTTAATTAAAAGCAGGACTGGAATTAAGAAGGGATTTTATCCTAGCTTTGTAGATCTTATTGTATTTAGATATAACACTTCCAAGCCAAGGTGGCTGATGTTTTTTGGTGGCAATTTCTTCAAACATGTTTGTGGTTCTTTGCAATAGGACTGGTCAGCTGATTTGAACCGTTCTCTAAGTAGAAGGGAGAAAAAAAAGGCAACAGATGGTGTGACTTTGACCAATATTAACCAAACAGGAGATCAGCAATCGCCGCAAAAAAATAGCAGGTAGATGATATTTTTTAAACATTTTTTTACTCAAGCTTCAAATTGGGGTGTGCAAATATTTGGAATATTTCAGAAATAGATCAGTTGGAAGAATTTGGGCTTTAAGTTCCACTATCTCATGGAAAAATGAGAAATAATCTTAAGATTACATGGACATCCTTGTGTTAAACTTGGTGGCGATAGTGCAAGTATGATTTGTAGCCAAGAATGCACAAAAGAAACAGCAGCTATAATGGGGTCCAACTCTAACGAAGGAAAATGGTTTGTATACTGTGCCAGATGAGTGGGGAATGAACAGCTGTGCACTATATCTTGCCAAACAGAGCTTTGTAGCCCCCGATTCAACTTTTCTTTTTTGAATGCTTGAGTTCTTCTACATTAGTTATTATTTGTTCTAATATTATGTCCATCTGTGCAAAATGATAAGACTTCTGTAGGGGAAATTCAGGGGCCATCGTTCTCATGTGCCACTGTATGCCCAAGCAAAATAAATAAATACGTAAATGGAAGAGCGTGTAAAGTCTCTTTACTGCAAAGCCACTTTGGGAATTCCCAATTTAATTCCCAACGTAAACACTTTTAAAATTACGATTGTGGTTAGGAGGTGGGTTAACAGCAGAGTTACCAGAGCAACATAATAACTCTGATGACCCTGGCAAAATAAATGATTTTAAAAGGTGAAATGTATGCCCCAAATATCATAACATCTTAAAATTTCACCTTCCCCCCCACCAAAAGATGACATTTTCCCCTCCTTTCTGGTGCTCTGTCATTAGCCGGCCTGAGGCCTCTGGGAAATGCCCCTACAAAATGTAAGCCCCTAGATTCTAGATCAAAAATATTGCTCAGCAGCACTTGACTAGTTAGGTAGTCCTTGACTTATGACGACAACCGAGCCCAAAATTTATGTTACCAAGTGAGACATTTGTTAAGTGAGTTTTGCCCCGTTTTAAGCACATGTCTTGCCACAGTTAAAGTGAATCGCTGCCGTTGATAAGTTAGTAACTTGGTTGTTCAGTGAATCCGGCTTCCCAAAGGACCCCTTTGCTTGTCAGAAGGTGGTAAAACGTGACCGTATGACTCCCTCTAAGACACTGCAACCGTCATAAATATGAACCAGTTGCCAAGCATCTGAATTT